TCCAGATTGGAATATGGAATTAAAACTTATTGGCAAATTTTTGGAAATGGATGCTAGAAATTGTAAATATTTTAAAATGAAATCAATCTTTTTTTTAAAAATATATATATATATACTTAACATATTTATTCATCCAAAAGTTCACGCATGGGATTATCGACGTTATGTGACATTCCAGCTTTCTTCCACCACTAAAACTTCGCTCACTCAAACCGAATTCGATTTCACTACTACAAAGATTAATCAAAATTTTTCTAATTATTCGGCTTGGCATCAACGGAGTAAATTGATGCCGCGTTTAATAAAAGAGCAAAATTTGGATGAACAGGAAAAGGAAACCCTTGTTAATAAAGGTAAGTACAAGTGTCTATTAATGAATTTGTTTTATATGAATATTTTAATTAAAAATATAAAATTCATTTATTATTCAAAGAATTTGAATTGGTAAAGGCTGCGTTTTACACAGATCCGGATGATCAAAGTGCTTGGCTATACCATTGGTGGTTAGTTGGTCGAGGTGTGAAAATGTGATTTATATTATCTTGGTTAATTTTATTTACAAATAACTAGTTTAATGACAAAATTTTTAAATTAGAAATTCAACATATCTCTTTGCTCGGCGCCTATTATAATCCGAAAATGCGACAAGTTGTATTAGCATTTGATGATGAAATTGGAATGGTGATTCCATTTCAAGTAACTAAAAAGATTGATGATAATTCCCCTTCAAGTTACATTGAAGGAATGTGGAGACCTGCTGGAGGAGAACTTAAACATGATCAGCTTAATATTGATAGAAGTTATGGTTTTGTTTGGATTTTTACATTTTTTGATTCTGTGAAGGATGATTTTACAGAATTAATCGTCACGGTAAAGCCAGAATTTATCGTGCCATCACATTCCGAAGTCAAGTTAACAAGAACTATGCAAAGACATTGTATTATTAATGACAATTATAATTTAGAAAACGGTGAGGAATTGATTTTATTTGAATAATTTATTAATTTTAAATAATAATATTATTACTATTATTTAGACTTCATTATATCTATGTCACAATTGAGTGTGAGTGATGTATTAAAAGAATCATCAAGTTCATTAAGTCAGAGTCAAGATACTTTGCCAATAGATACATCAGAAAGGATTAAACTTTTACAACGCGAAATTAGTATGGTTCGAGAGCTATTGGAATTAGAACCGGATAGTAAATGTTTGTATAAATATAGTCCGACAATCATCAATCTATTTAATTTTATGTTATTTGGTTTTTTTATTTTATTTTTTACATTGTTTGTTATTTTAGGGTGTTTACAGACTTTAGCAAATCTTTTAAGAGAATTAAAATACATTTCTGGAACAAATATGGAAGAAAATTCAAAGATCGATGATGAGGTTGTTACAATTTGTGATCATTTAATTAAGATTGATAAGTTGAGAACAAAAAGGTTTGAAGATTTGCGTAAGTTCACTTTTTTTTTAATATTCGATTATATATTCAGCAAGCAAAATTTAACTATACTATTTAACTTAATTAGGTTCAAAAGCAATTTTTGAGTCAGCAACTAAATCATTAGTCAAACTTGTTTCAAAAGAATTAGCATATAATGACGATACATTACAATATCAAGATTCAACATTTTCACTTGAATCTAAAAATCTTACAATAATTCCTACTCCATCAATTTTATTATATATTACCAAATTAAATTTATCAAATAATAAACTTACATCAATACAATTTCTTGCTAATTTAATTAACTTAAAAGAAATAGATGTAAGTAATAATTGTATTACAAGTATAAGTGGAGTTAATAGGTTAAGAAATTTAAGATATTTGAAAATACAAAATAATTATATCAAAAATTGGGAAGAGGTAAAGAACGGATTTATTGGATGGCAAGGGGTTGAATGTAATATTTATATATCTGAAAATCCATTAATTGAAAATACTAATGAAATAGAAAGTTTGAAAATTGGATGGGAAAATGAAATTAAAGAATGTGGCGATCAATTAAAAATTATATGGAAATAAAATTTAGCATTACAAATTGTATATTTAATATAAATTATTTTATCTTTAAATATAAGAGATTAAACATAAATTTTAACAAATATTGAAATTGTTAAAATAAGCAGTATAATTTTAAATATATTCTTATATATACTATCATATATAATTGATTTTTTAATAATGATATTTAAAAAAAATATTTATAAAAAATAATCTTTTCAATAAATAAATAAATAATAAAAATATCACTAATCAAAATATTATTAATTCTCTAATTAAATTATTTTTTAAATTATTTAAAAACAATTTTATTATAATAAAATTTAAAAAATTAACTTTTATAAATATAAAAAAAAATATATATATTAATATATATTTTTTATTAAATATATTAATAGATATCTTAAGTTTATTAAAATAATTTAAATTTTAAATTATTTTAAAAAATTTATTATAGTAATTATTAAAAAATTTTATGAATAAATTATAAATAATCTATATTATATATTAATATAATAAAAATGTTTAAATTAGAATACTTTTATTTCATATTAAAGAATACTAATATAATATATTAATACTTAACATTAACTAATTTTTAATCTAACCCTAACTGTGATAAATAGATATATATGACAAATAAGATTTTTGACACTTGAAAAAACTAAATTTCTTAAATAAATAATAAAAATGAAAACTTTAAAAATGTGATATGATATGACAAATATTTTAATATCAAATTCTTTACGTAATACAAAGAGGTAGTTATTAATATTCTTAGATATAATGTACATTTTTTTTTAAATTATTATACATAAATAAATTTTGATTAAATTATATAAGCTAATTACTCAAATATGTAATATAATTTAATTATTTTTTCTAGTATCATTACCAAAAATTTATTAATAATTAAATATTTATTATATTATATTATATTCTTTTAATTTTATTATATATTTTAAAAATTTGAAATTTTTTAATTAATAAAAATTATTTATCACAAATTATTTATTATATAGATAAAATTATATTATTTGAATTTTTAATATATATAAGAATAAGTTATTATTAGTTAGTAAAGTATATATTAAAATTATATTTATTAAAGATAATCATTATAATTACTTTTAAATTTTAATTAAATTGCAATTAAAGTTACTTATTTAAATTTAATTTGAATTTAATAAAATGTTTAAACTTTAATTTTATTAAATTTTACTAAAATTTTAATATATTTTTATATTTTTATAAACTTTGATATAATTTTACCTTTTTTTTAAGTTCACAGATTTTTTTTAATATAAATTTACTAAATTTTACCTTTTATTATTTAGATAATTTACAAAACTTCTAAATTTCATTCATAATCTTAGTTAAACTAAATTGTAATATAAATTTAATTATATTACAAGTTACAATTTAATTACATTATTTTTTAATTATAATACTTATCTTTAATATATATATATATTATATAATGATATATATTTTATGCTTTTAATAGATAAAATTAGATTAAAAGCTTCTAATTCAATAATTTTATTAAAATTTATACTTCTAAAGCTTTTAAAGGTTTCTAATAGTACTTTTAATTTTTTAAAAGCATATAATTATTAAAGATGATACTACAACTATTTACAACTATATAATACTTATTTGTTATAGATTGCAATTAGTTAATATATAATACTTATTTGTTACAGGTTGCAACTAGTTACAATTATGTGATACTTATTTATCACTAGTTACAACTAATTGCAACTCAATTTTTGTCAATATTATAATTAATTACAATATTATGATGTTTATTTATCATTAGTTATAACTAGTTATAGCGTTATCTTTAATCATTATATATATATACAATAAAATTTAATATAATATAAAATTTTACCTATAGTCTTATTATTAAGATAAAAGCATTAATTAGTTATAATAGATTATCATGATATTATAATATCAATTTTAGTCTTATATATAATAAATTTAAAAAATCTGCTATTGTATTACAAAATTTTTAAATGCATTTATATTTTAAAAAAATATATATTATATATTTGCAATAATATAATGATTAAAATATTTTAACAGATTTTTTTTTAAAATATTAATGAGAACATTTAAAATCATATATAATTTTGTTATAAAATAATAAATTAATATATAGTATAATAATAAATAATAAATTTTATATTATATTATAAATAATTAAAATATATATTTAAATAATAAAGTAAAAAAAATATAAATTTTAAGAGTTTATTAAAATTTCTTATATATTATCTAATTTTTAAAATTATATTAAATAAGTTTTTTAACAATTTAATAAGAATTACATTTTATTAAATATACATTACCAATAAAATCAAGTTATAAAATATAGGAAATCATATAATCTATAATATGAAATACTTAAATATGATAGTAAACACTTTTATTTATTTTCAATTTTATTTCCTTTTTTTTTTTTATAAAATATATATAAAAAAAATATAATATAATATAAAAATAAAAAAAAGAATAATAAAATTAACTTTAATTATCTTATCTATACTTTTTAAGATTGTATCTAAATAAAGTTTTTAAATAGCAAATAAATCTTTTAAAATAAATTAAAATAACAAGAATCTTTTATAAAAATAATTTTCTAGTAAGAATTATAATTTTAAAAAATTTTTATAATGGATTTTATGCTAGTTACATAATTATTAATTTTTCAGTATATAATATTTATTTGCAAGGTAAGAAACTAATCTGATCTAATCAAAAGAATTTAAATTCAAAATTACATTAAATACATATTGAATTTATTAGATAAAATTTGTTTTCTTTTTATTAAGTGTTAAAATATTTTAATTTTTATCTCAAAAATTATATTCCTATTTTGTCATTTTAATGTTTTTATATACAATAAAAAAATTTTTATCAGCTTGTGATCGACACATCGTGATTATTTACCTTTTCTAAAAAAAAAATCTTTTAAAAAATGAAATTTGAATTATATGACAAACAATTAAAACGATGGCCAGAAACTGGACGTCATATTATAGGACAATACGACGATGAATCAATTATCGTTTATCAAGCTTATAACCATTCTATAGCTGACTACGCTGTTCAAAATCAAAAATTTGGTGGTAAGGATTTTTCATGGAAGGTAAATGGGACTTATACTTTTTTCCCTGTTAATAAATTTTTTTGTAAAATTAAAAAAAATTTTTACATTTTCAAATTAGAGAATGACATGGATTAAAACCAATTTTACTTGGATGATGTATAGATCTGGATGGGCCACCAAAAAGAATCAAGAAAGAGTAATTATTACAATTTGTTTGTTATTTTTATTTATAAGTTTTTTAAAAATAAATTTCTTTTTTTTTTTTACAAAATTTATGTTTCAGATTTTGGCAATAAAGTTAAAAAAAAAAACAGGATTTGAAGAAATTTTATCAGAAGCGACATTAACAAGTTTCAGTCAATCTTATCTATCTTCTAATTCACGATCTAATTCATCCAGTACATCCCGATCAGAAAAATCCTCGAATTCAAGACCTAATAAATCCTTCAAATCGCGATCCGATAAATCCTCGAAATCAAGATCTAATAAATCTTCCAAATCACGATCTGATGAATACTCCAAATCACGATCCGATGAATCCTCCACTTTACAAGAGGAATGGAAAGAACAATTAGAAAAATCACAAGTAAGACTACAATGGGATCCAGACCATGATTTACTTGGAGAAAAGATGCAAAGAAGGGCAATACAACTTGGTATAAAAAACAATATATTGCAAAAATATTCTAATGAATGGATAATTGGAATTGAAGATATCACAGAATTTGTTAGAAAACAATATGAATTAATTAAATTAGATAAATTGAATGAAGTTAGAACTCCCGTTGAGCGAGTTTATGAAATTGGTGATAATTTAACAAAAGAAAAATTAGGTATGAGCTTTGATGATTCCAAGCCTATCCAAGCCGAGCCTGAACCCGAATCCGAGTTCCGTAAAATATGTAAAAGTGTCGTTGATTACATATATAACATATGTAATATACAGTAATCAGATAGATAACAGAAATTTAACTGGGATTTGATCGATCATAAAAGTTACACGAGTAGTATTTTATTTTGAAATAAAAAAACAATTCTAAATATATACAATTTTTCTTTTTTTAAAAAAAAAAAAAGAAAAAATATTAAAAATCAACATAAATCACTGTCACTGTCATTTTTTTTGATTGGTTTTGGTGGTAAAGGAGGTCGAGGTCGAGCTGGAAGAGGGTTAATAATGTCTCTTTGAGAGAAATCAGGCTTAGGATTCGTTTTTGTATCAGCACCATCTCTAATATTAATTTTGTTTCTTCTCCTACGTTGAAATAGCTCCCACAACACACCAATCAAGGCCATGAAGATAACAATGAACCAAACAGAAATCAAACACCAAAATAAGATTAATTCTGACCGTAAGGTCTCTTCATATGCGTCAAATATTTTCCCTATTTCACCACCAATTTCACCATCTTTACTACCAACAAGTTCATTTGTAGCTTGACCAACCACAAAATCATTCATACCACTATTAAAATCCGACAAGACGGCTTCATTTACGCGCGGTAAACCAATGAAAGCGTTTTCGCTAATAAAATTTAGTCCGGTTTGGATTCCTTCTATTTTATTTAAAATTAAACAATCAACTAATTGATTTACGGCTGTTAATAATATTGGTACCCCGCTAAAAGTATTTTGAACAAAGGTCGAAATTTCATCTACCGCGACATTTAGCGTATTATTTAACGTAGTCGTCGTCGTATTGACCCATCCGAATAAATTCTGATTCAAATCATTCTCTAAGGAAAGGATTGCGGTGTTACTATCGTTTGAAAATTGTTTCGAAGTCGAAACTAATTGCGAATCAATTAAATTTGAGATAGAATTACTAAATTCATTAATCGAATCAACGATTGTTTGTTTATTAACCTGTTTGACTGTATTAAGAATAAAAATTTGTAAATAAATTCCTAATACACCAGTTATTCCTATCAATAAACAGATCAATGCCGGTTTGTGAAGGATGTAATGCCAGAACCAAATATACAAATCTTTATTTTCATTGTTTTTAAAAATCTTTGATCCATTTGTAATCCATATGAAAACATCTTCCATTCTAATTAATCTAAAACCATAATTTTTATTTTTAAGCCAAATAATCACCATATTAAATACGATCATTAATAGAATTATTGTTATGAGAATTCCAATGCCGATATACACTCCTTTAATCAGCTCATTTGATACCTCATCAAAAATATCAAGGTTTAAATTATCTGCACAAAATTTTACTTGATTTTTTGGCGGTATGGGTAAAACACTTTGATTGAATTGAATATTTGAAACAGCATCTTTAACAATTCCTCTTAATTCATTAAACGGAACTGATGCTAATGCTGAAATTTTCGTTTCAATTTCATCCATTGTTGGAAGATTTTCATTTAATGCGTCAATTCCTTCAACAATGTTGGTCGTTGGTAATTGAAAATTAGCCAAAGGTTCGGTTGATAAATTAATAGTTGGTATATTTACTCCTATGCCCCCAATTGAATTTCTTAAATCGTCAAGTGTTGAACTTATTCCTGATATTTCATTATCTAACCCGGATTTAATTCCACTTATCATTTCATTGGCTGATTCACCTAATACTTTGACAGATTCTGATAATACGCCAATCGATCCCCTTACTGCAAATTCCAAAAGACATAGATATGTCCGTTTGTATACATGAATCAACCAAACGATAATACCTTCTATTGCGACTATCGATAAATCTATTGTTTTTTCTAATCCTTTAATCGCAAGGTTAACACTATCAACCGTTGCTCGATTTAATCCACCTGCCATAATATGCGGAAGTGACACTACTGCCGACGCAGTAAGTTCGAGCGCAGAGCATGAACTAATTGCCTTATTTTTGGCAAATTCAACAAGCGGTCCAATTGATTTAATGGTAAGACATAAACGTATGGTTATGATCATCAATGATATGATTGCATATTCTATCCAAGATTGCGAGAGTTTGCTCCTTAATCCAAGAATATTTTTAGGCGATTGAGGAGACGGTGGAATATCTATTGTACTTTTTTCAGAAAATGATTTTTCTCCTGTAGAATTTTCGTGATTCATTCGAGGAGACGTAATTCGTTGTCGAAATACTTCATCTTGTAAGCTTGGTGATGTTGGTAACGCATATCCAGTTGTTGACGCACCAGGCGTCGATTTATTAAGTGAAAGGTTCATAAATCAATAAAGTAAAAATTAAAAATTATTTTTTAATGATAAACGAAGTGTATTTACAGTATTTATATAGAATATTTATTTGTTTAATTTTTTATTTTTAAAATTTACCTAATTACCATATTAAGACAATAAAGAATTTATTTTAGTTGTTCAATTTTATATATGAAATTATGAAACAAACAAAGGGTTTCGAATATGCAACAAAAGAAAATCAAACAAATAATGAAAAAGAAAAGATTTTTTTATTTTGAAACGGGGGAAGCCGATTTCAGCTACTTTATTTGTTACTGCTGTATATGGACCAAAAAATAAAAAATTTAAAAAATAATCTCTCTATTTTCCATATAGTAAGTATATCCGTATATTATGAACCTGTATTCCAAATTTCTAAAGCACGGAAATCAACCATTCTTGTTGAACGAATTCATTACTAAAAATCATCTATTTTCATAAACTAATCAAAAATAACTCAATCCAATTTACGATCATACAAAATCATCAACAATGGTTCTGATTTCCTTTGTTCTATTAGGCCTAATTTTTTAGCATATAACAAATGGAAATGCTTTATTAAATAAAGACCCCAAGAAATAATGCTTAAATGATTTTCAGAATTACAAAAATACAAAGAATGGGAAATGGATGAAAAAAAATTAATTACCGAAAGGATTGTGATATTTTCTGTCAAGTATTTTGAAACGAATTTTTCAGAAGTGAAAAATCTATTCGTCACATATTATCCGTCACATGTGCACCGCCGTAATGCGACTGCGTTCCTTGTACACTAACTGTCCTGAAAAAAAGATAGCCAGATTTTATTTGCCGGGTCACATATACTTATTAGGGGTGACGCTAATTGTGACAATTAGCATTTTTCTCACAAAAAAATTTAGAATACAGTGCAGAACGGAACTTTATTATAGTAAAAATAGAACAAATTTAAAATGCAAAAAATTTTATTATATATAAAATTGAAAATTTAATCCATAAAATAGATAAAACATGACCTGTGCTTTAAGAAACCTGGATTAGAATTTTAATATTTTCAATATTAATAAAGTTATATCAGGTTAAATTTATTCAAAATTAATTATAAAAACTGAAATTGAAAAAATATGTGATGAAGAATTTATAAGAACAAATCTTTTATCATTCATATATTTTAACTTAAATATTATTGTAATTGAATTATATAAAGATATATTAGAGTATAGCAAAAGAAATACACAAAAATATTGCAATTATACATAGGTTGGATTATAATAAATTATTCCTAAAGCATTAGATTCAATTTAATTACATTTCAAAAATATTCATAAAAATCATGGTGGTATATGAATATTTATAAAAAAGGTATTACTAGTAAAATAGTAGAGTTTGCAATTAAAAAATATAAGTTTCATCATTGTGTATCTGATGCAATTTATAATAAAATAATAAAATAAAATAAAATAAATTGTTTTATATGATTTTAATTCTTAGTTTCTAATTGGCTTATATATATATTACACAATGTTTACATAATGATAATTTACAAAATTGAAAAAAATTTTTTTATAAATCGATTTATTTTTACAAATATAAATCAATTTTTTTATTTGATTAAAAAATCAGTAGGTTAAATTTTATTAATGTTTTTTTAAGTTCTTATTATAGTGATTTCATACTGTACTTAGTAAATTGAAGGATTACTGAGATGTGACATTCTTAATTAATCCTAATTCTATCATAATCCAAATCTTAATCAAAATCAATAATACTAACTCTAATAATAAATACTTAGCAAATATTTCTTTATATTCTTTATATTATTTTTTGAATAAATTTAACCTGGTATAACTTT